GCGGTTCAATCCCCCAGCACCACATGCCAGCCAGCCCCGCCCCCTGGTGGGCTGAGCTGGCCACACACACACACTACTCTCTCTCTCTCTCTCTCTCTCTCTCTCTCTCTCTCTCTCTCAAATAAATAAAAAATAAAAAAAAATTAAAAGAACTAAAATGGGAGGCTGCTACAGATCCTACAGATACAAAAATTATAATGGCACTTGGATGATTGAGGCAGGAGGGTCACCATGAGTTCAAGGCCAATCTGGGCTATAAGCAAGTTCAAGGCCAGTCTGCACTACACAGTGAGACTTTGTCTCCAAAAAACCCTTAAATCAATGAAATCAATCAAGCAAGCAATCAATAAATCCTTGAATATGGTGGCATATGTCTATAATCCCAATACTCACAAACCTGAGGCAGAAGGACTGCTGTGTGTTTGAAGCCAGCCTGGGCAAAAAAAAAAAAAAAAAAAAGACCTCTCGGAGCTCTTGTGGTCTTGCCAAATGCTATCATTTAGAGAAAATGACCCCAAAATCACAGAGATTCTTTCAGAAAACACAAAAAGAAGAGCTATTATCCCATATAATTGTATAAGCTGGGCATGGTGGTATACCCCTGTAATTCTAGCACTCAGGAGGCTGAGGGAGGATAGCCATTGAGTTTGAGACCAGCCTTAGTGCTGCTAATATGAAAAAAATCCTATCTCCTCATCTTCTCAAAGAATTTTATCGGGGCCGGGGAGATGGCTCAGTGGAATAAGTACTTCTCTGGCGAGTGCAGGGGCCTGAGTTCAATCCCTGGTTCCGCCAAAAAAAAGAAAAAAAGAAAGAAAAAAAGAAAAAAAATCAAAGAATTTCATCAAACTTAAAAACCAAGTGCACCATTAAAGCCAGGATGCCTCTGTTATAATGTCTCTAAGAATAAAACTGTCAGGGCTCAGCATACAGAAGGGAAAACAAATTCCTGGCCCCTTAACCTATTACTGTACCTCTTAAAAAGCATGAGTGTGTTTTCTTTCACTGCCACATGTTCACTTAACAAATACACTAGCCCTTCTTTATCACAAGGCTGGGACGTTCACGCAAGACAGGAATACGTAGGCCACCCACTCCTTAAAGCTGAGATCTTTGCACAGGAAATGACAACAGCTTTTCAAGTGTTGCTCAGGACCCAGTGAAAAATTACCAGACTTTTGCTAAGCCCTGTACCCCTTGCTCATGAGATAGAAAACTTACCCCATTCATTACAAAAAAACTAATCTGACTTTGGGTCAGCTCTATGGCCCTTTTAACTCTTCTCAAGCTGAATTTCCTTCCCCATTTCTCTCTCTTCTTCTTCTTTTTTTTTTTTTTTTTTTTTTTTTTTTTGCAGAACCAGGGATTGAACTCAGATCCTTGCATTTGCCAGTCAAGCGCTTATCCTACTGGGCCATCTCCCCGGCCCCTCCATTTCTCTTTCTTAATTAAAACATCTGCCTTTGAGTTCCTCCTCTTAACCTGTTTAAATTTTATTACAACTGAGACAACAGTTCCTTTGTGGGCCAGTGAGATAGCTCAGCAGACTAAGAGCCTGCTTAGGTAAGTACAGGGACTGAGGTTCGATCCCTAGTACCACACCGTGCACCGGGCCCACCCCTGAGCACACTGAGTCAGGGACCAAAGCCAGGTGTGGTGGCACATGCCTGTAATCCCAGGACTGTGGAAGCTGAAAACGGGAGGATCACTACCTGTCTGAGCTGATAGTGAGACCCTGTATCAAATACATTTAAAAAAAAAAGTTTGTGTCTGGTATCAACTGCACCAATGTCAATCCCAGATTTTGACACTGAGAATATAACCACTATGGGGTGTGTGTTTTGTGCTGGAGGTTGAACCCAGGATCTTTACACTGAGCTATATCCCTAATTCTCTCCTCTTTATTTTGAGATAGGTTTTTACTAAATTGCTAAGTTGCCCAAGAGTATCAGGGTTTTAGGTATACATTACTAAACTGGCTTATAAATTTAAAACAATTTTGAAATAGGTAAACTAAGCTCACTGATCTAAGTCAGGAGGGTGACTCTGATGACAGGAGCAGTAGTGACGAGGAGTGTCATGAGTGCTGTCCCTGGGGGTTTTGCTCTCTGAGGGCATGCAGGCTAAGCTGCACTGTGCCTCTGTATGTGTGCTGAGCTTCCAAGCAAAAGGCTAAAAAGCAACACACAGGAGCTGTGGCTGTTAACTCAATGGTACAGTACTTGCCTAACATGCATGAGGCCGAGTTCTATACTTAGAACCATAAGAAAAAAAATTTTAAGTACATAAATCAATGTAAATGTTAATAAAACTCCTGAGGGGGCTGGAGAGATGGCTCAGTAGAATAAGCACTTGCATGGCAAGCGCAACAGCCTGAGTTCAACCCCCAGTTCTGCAAAGAAAGAAAGAAAGAAAGAAAGAAAGAAAGAAAGAAAGAAAGAAAGAAAGAAAGAAAGAAAGAAAGAAAGCAAGCAAGCAAGCAAGCAAGCAAGCAAGCAAGCAAGCAAGCAAGCAAGCATGTTCATATTGGGCCAAGGAGATAGCTCAGTAGAATAAGCATTTGCCTGGCAAGTGCAAGGACCTGAGTTCAATGCCCAGTTCCACCAAAAACAAAAAACAACAACAACAAAAAAAACCCTCCTGAGGATAAAGGACAAATGACAGACTGTCAGAGCAGACTGGGCCATGCCCCTCTTGTAGCCTAACCCAACAACAGTTGTATCTGTACAGCCTGCATCCTAAGAGTGTTCAAAAAATAACTTCAAAAAGGAAGAATATGAGGGAGAGATTATCTATGGCGACAAAAGTATTTGCCACCTGGCTCTTGACAGAAAAAGTTTGCCGACTCCTCTTACTGATGATGCTACAGGGATGACAGTGATGTGAACTAAGCTTGAAAAGCATTTTGAGATTATCAGAGCAATTTGCACACTGTATGCATATTTGATGGAATTAAATATGAGGCTGTGGCCGGGTGTGGTGGCACACTCCCAGCACTAGGGAGGCTAAGGCAGGAGCATCACCATGAGTTTGAGGCCAGCCTGGGCTACAAAAGCAAGTTCAAGGTCAGCGTATACTTGCTAATGAGACCCTATTTCAAAACAAAGTACAAGGGTGTACGGCAGGGTAATGGGATGGATATGATCAAAATATGTTATATGAATGTATAAAAATACCACATTGGGCTGGAGAGATGGCTCAGTGGTCTAAGGCACCTACTTAGAACAAGCTTGGCAAAGCATCAGGGACCACGGTTCAATCCCCCAGCAC